GTTTAACTATCACAGTCCCTATAAATAGTTATTCCAGAAGACCCCAACCTTACCCTACCCTTTCAACAGATGATACTAGTTTGTCAAGATTAAAGGCATGCATGGTGAGCTCCACTATCTCCCACTACCCACCCCTCAAAAACTCTTTTGGTCCTTAACTCTTCTCTCCTTTCCTTCTAGTCCCAGAGAATAAAGGAATGATCAGGCTCTCTAAATTTAGCTAGGAGAAACAAAATCAATGCAGTTTAAATCAGAAGAGAAACAGGTAAATAAGGCAAAAAATCTTGGCTGCAAGTTTCTCTGATAAGGGTCTCAGATTCAATATATATACATATTATATATATATATGTTGTATATCGCATATATTGTATGTATGTATGTATGTATGTATGTATGCATGTATGTATGTATGTGTGTATATATAACTGACTCAGACCTGGCCTGGCTCTCTTTGAAACACCACTTGAATCCATTCTCTCCTCTTATGTGATATGCTATCCCTATAACTTCTCCTATTTGTCTCCCTATCTCTGTAATAATCAGTAGCCATTTAAAAGAAAACTGCCCCCTTTCTCCTCCTCATGTCTCTCATCCCCATCCCTCTCAACAGAACCTTACCATTCCCCAATCCAACCCTGTTCACCCCTTCCACTGTGCTCACTGGAATTTCTATTGCATAGAGAACAAACTCCCTTTATCCTGAACCTCTTCTCTCACTGACACTCTTTCCATAGCCCTCACCAAGACCTGGCTGAACTCTGATGACAATGCATACCTGTCTATTCTCTTTAGCACTAACTGTACCTTTCTCTCTCTCTCTCTCTTTCTCTCTCTGTCTCTCTCTGTCTGTCTCTCTGTCTCTCTCTCTTGTCTCCCTCATATACACACACACAGACACACACACACACACAGACACACACACACACACACACACACACACACACACACACTCCTCCACATTGGTCCTCAAGTGGGAGTCAGAATACTACTTGTTTCCTCTAACTTCTCTCTACCTCCTTCACTCAGTACCTTTCATCTTTTGAAGTCCATGCAATTCAAATTATCTATCCAATCAAAACTAGAGTAACTGTAATATAGCAACTCTCAGTTTATTCTTGCTCCTTTCTCAAGGACTTCAGCAGCTGGATTACCATCTTTCTTGCCTTCCCAACTCCTAGCCTTATAATATGGTACCCACACAAGCCATGTTGATTTTAAAACTGGCTCAGCTTGACATCCAAGACTACTTCTCAACCTCTGTCCTCTGCCTGGAACCTCAATTTGAACAAGTACCCACACTCTTCATGTTCACTTCATACCTGGATCAACCTATAATTATTACTCTACCCAGTAATACTCTCCTCTCCCAGATTTTCAGCTCTTCCATTCTCTTTTATGTTTGTTGCCTCCTCCCTCCCTCTTCCTCCTCTTTCCCTCCTTTCCCCTCCTTTTCACCTCAGCATTCCCGTACACTCTTTCCTAGGGGCTTTTGTGACATTATTTCTCCTGGCTCACTACCTACTTGTCTGAACACTCCTTGTTTCTTTTACTGGCTTGTCACTTCACACCTGTTACCTGTGTTCCCTAAGTTTTGTCCTGGGTCCTCTTCTCTTCTTCCTCTCTACTCTTAGTAACTTCATCAACAACTATGAGTTTAGCTATGACCTCTATGCACATAACTCCCAGACCAATATATCCAGCCCATCTCTCCACTAAGCTTCAACTCTAGATCACCAATTGCCTATTAGACATTATAAACTAGGTGGCAGCCCAGAGACATCTTAAACTCATTTCTAAAACTGAACTCATTACAATTATCCCTACTACATCCCTACTTTCCCCATCATGGTTTCAATATGTCACAGGTAGGTATAAGAAATTAAATGATAATTTTGGGGGAATTTTGCTGAAGCTGCAGGTGGTACATGAAGGCCAGCAGATGACACAGAAAAAGTTTAGAAACTTAGAAATGCATAAAATATATGTATAGTATTGCATATCAACACATTTTATCTTTTAATACCATAATAATTCAGATTTCTGCGATATGAAAGGTCAAAAAATTTTATGTGGATTTTCCAGATAGTGGAGTTCCATGTCCCCTAACCCTTGTGATGTGGAAGGGATAACTGTATATTTTCCTATAAACCATTCCTTTTTCCAAGCTTCTCTATATCTGTTGAAGGCACCACCATCTTCCCAGTCTTAGGTTCATAATTTTGGCATTATCTTTGACTCTTCACTTTCCCTCATCACCACATATCCAATGCATATCTTCCCATTTCTACTTTCACATCTCTTGTATCCCCTTCTTCCACTCACACAACTACCATTTTTTGTTCATGCTTTCATGTCTCTTCTAGATTATGACAACTTCCTAATTCATCTTCTCAATCCAGTCCATGCTACACACTGCTGACAAAAGTAATTTTTCCTTAATTATAGATCTGACCATGTTACTTTTCTACTCAACCTACTCTACTTCCTTCCTTGTACCTCTAGGATAAACTATAAACACCTCTATTTAGCTTTTAAAGCCTTATACAACTGACTAAAAAAATCACTAAACTGTGCATATGTTTTGACTCAGCCCAAAGTCAGCCAAGAGTCAAGAGAGTGAAGTGGGAGGTCCATAGACATGGAATATTTAATTATTTTCAGCTTTTTTTCCAATGCATTTATCAGTTTCACTGATAATTTTTCTCTTTTAAAAAATTATTTTCCTATGTAGAATGTTTCTTTGGGGGGGCAACTGGGGGAAGATAGGTAGAATAAAAACAAAATATTGCCACAAAATTATTTTTAAAAAATTTTAGGAAAAAAGGGAAATAACCTGTATGTACAAAAATATAGCAACTCTTTTTTTTTTAGTAACAAATAACTAGGAATTAAAGAAGTGCTCAATTATTGCTAAGTAACTAAATAAATTTATTATATAGATGTAATGGAATATTATTGCACCATAAGAAGTGCCAAAATAGTTTCAGAGAAACATGGGAAGACCTATATAAACTGACACAGAGTGAAATGAACTGAACCAGGAGAGCAATTTATACAATAACAGTGTTAAAAAGAAAAGCAACATTGAAAAACTTGAGAGCTTTGATCAATGCAATGACCACTATAATTCCAGAGGACTGATGATAAAACATATTACCAACCTCTTAAGAGAGGTGAAAGATTTAAGATAGGGAAGACATACATTTTTAGACAGTCAGTGGGAATCTCTTTTGTTTTATTTGACACATTTGTTTTTACAAGGGTTTTTTTTTTCCTTTTCTCCAATATGGGGGGAAGAGGGAGGGAAGAAACAAAGGACCAAAGGAAGAAAAGAAGGTTGTTGTTTGTCCTTCATTCTCAAAGAGGACCAATGACATCAGGAAGGTGATGTCTTGGCTTGCAAGTGCATTGGATGTAAGTGAGGCAGGGCTGTGCAAAGTCACCAGCCTCACTCTCTCCTCCAGAGCCATCTGGGTCCAGTGACAAGACACAAATCAGGAAAACTGGAAATGGCCCCAGATATAGTAGAAGACTTTGGCCTTTTTAAACTAAGATCTTTCCCAGGCCTCAGTTTATCTGAGGCAACACCCATTCAGTGATTAAAGTTAGGTAAGAAATGAGGCAAAGGATGGCCTCTTACCTACTCAAAAAAAAAATCAGTCTGGGAGGAGAAGACCCTAAGAGTTTCTGGTCAGAACACAAACAATTGCTATTTACACTCACTCTGAGCCATCAAAACCCAAACAATGACCAAGTGAGGCTTGAGGCAGGACCTATTGTTGGCCAATCAGTGAGAACCAGACTGAATTGGTTTTCAGGCATGGTCAAGTACCTCTATTTGAATCCCAATGGGATTCAAATCCCATTCAAATCCCCAAATGGGGATCAAAGCCTGGTTTTCCAGTTCTGTATTTCAAAAATTCATAACTGAACTACATGGGGCAAAAGAGTTAATTGTCCCTTTTTAAAAAATGATAGAATAAATAAGGAAGAGGAAAAAAATCTAGCCTGTAAACGCCAAGATATCTTGCAAGGTTTCAGAGATCAAAATTTATATTCCTTTGAGCAGAGCACCCACAGATCAGGGTATGCTTCCCTACATGGATACAGTGTGAGGAGAAAGAGAGGAGGAAAGAAGGAAGGAAGGAAGGACGGAAGGATGCATCTTGGTGACATTTGTTTTAATGCACAGAAAAGAACAGAAGGAAGACCATAAAAAAGCACATAAAAAAGCAGGACAATTTTGAAAGCTAGAGGCTGAATTTATTTTACATTTAAAAACAAAAGCAATCTCTATGTAAGAGACATACATTTTTCATGTATAGTCCTCTTTTTCTGTTCTACTATGTATATGAAAAGTGCATTTTGTTTAGTGTTTAAGTTCAGAATAAAAATAAATTATTATTTTAAAAACTCAAGCTGGTCCTCAGACAACATACAGACAGTCCATTATTTTGCCCCATAACTGAAGCCTTTTCAGTTTGACCAGTCCTTTTGCTCCACTGCTTCAACCTTCAAGAAACTTGGGTCACCCCTATCCTATGATGCAGCCTATAGTACTTTAGAGTACTTTGAAGTACTAGTACTTTAGTAACTAGTAGCACTAGTTACTCTAGTAACACTATCAAAATGAAATCTCCATTGTACCCCAGTGGACTCAACATTCATGCAAATGAGTGACTGTAGTCACTGGATACTTATATCTATAACATATCAGAATAGTTTTAATTTTTTTTTAAATTGAACAATGATATTAGCATTATGTATTTATAGCCAGGGATGCTATGGCATATGCTTAATACTCTATAATCACTTAGACAAGTCAATTCAAGCAAATGGTTAATCAATGAAAATAAGCATCTTTCAAACTAGGAGTTAAATTGAATTGATCTGTGAAGTTGAATGTGACTTTAAACTGAAACAAAAAATTAATAAAGTCTCAAAGATCTATAAATGAATAAGGCAAAGTTAAGACAGAGGCATTATTGCAGTACATTATAATTTATTGTATATTTGGACACAACCTGAAATGAATAATAAAAACAGGCACTATAATTGCCAACTGCTTTTTAAGAATGAAAAAATTATCTAAATGCTAATCAAAATGGTCCTAGATCTTCTACAAAAATTTATTTAAATTGCATGTTCCAATTTTCTTAGTGGAAATAAAAATTTATAAAGCAGTTGATACATTCATAATATTAGAATACCATCATTCAGTAATAAAAGCAATATTGCACAACACCTGAATGCCACTTTTTACAGTTGGAGGCATGTATAATAAAGTGATTTACCCATGGTATACATATAGATGATTAGAATGAAATATTTTTCAGCATTCTCATTGCAAAACACAATAAATTTCACTTTTAAAAAACCACAGCAAAACAAAAACCTCTTACTTAATGAGTAGCAAGTGCATTGTTTTTTATATTCATGGGATCCAGGTTAGGACCTTTATGTTTTCAGTCCAGTAGAAATCATGATAACTTTGTTTTATTGTAAGAACATTTTGTATTTATAGAACCTCTTAAACCATCAAGTCAAGACTTTAAAGATGCTTGAACATAATTCTTCTCTTTGGTTTTTATAAAGGTACTGGCTTAGTTTTCTCATGGCTCTACAAAGAAATTAGACCTACCCTTATTCCCTTTCAGGTACAACTATACCCAACAGGGGAAGAGAACATTAAATGAGGCAGTAACCTGTGGTCTAGTTAAGAGAATACAGACCAAAAAAAGGTAAATATAGCCCCCACCCACTGTAAGAACACATTTTTTTTCTCTTCTCATGTGAGATCTCATTTTTATGTTCCTAACACGATCCCTTTGAGAGCCTTTCTTTCCCCCAAATTCTAACATGCATAGAGTAGATACACTAGGTGTGTGGTACAGATGGAAGAAGTATGGATGAAATTCTTTCCACCAATCCCCAAACACAAAAATGCTACATATGGCTGTATTTCCCATAGAGGGTAAGGTGAATTATATTACACGCCCAATTATCATAGGATATAGTTGCAGATGGAGAAACTGGGACAAATAGATTCAGTAGCTTTACCTAAGGCCAACCATATGTAAAGATAAAAATAGATTTCACATTTCCATTTTGCAGGCTAGTGCTCTAGAATCTGATTTATGCAACTTTATCAAATTCTACATTATCCAGTTTTTTAATATTTTTGTATAATAAAATTATTTATAACACCTGAATTGAAAGACACTAAAATAGGACATGTGGTTTCACTCAAGAAGTGGTCATTTGTTTTGCTGTGTAAATGACAAGTTCCTCTAGTCTGGAAATAATTACACAGCCATGGAAATGAGAATTCATATCTAAAAGCCACTGAATACTGGCCTATATAAACATTGTTCAACAATATCAAAAAATCAGAATGTTAAACAAATATCTGCAATTGGGCATAATTAAAGAGGAAAAGACTTCCATTTAACTGACACAGTAATTCACAAAAGAATTTACATAAATTCCTATAAATAGATCAATGAGAAATAGAATATTTTCTCTTTTTTTAAAAATTTTAATGGAGAAATAACTACTGCCTATGCTAGAGGCCATATTGCTTGAGGCAGTCTGTATAGGATATCTGGTCAAGATTCATAATTGCACAGATCTGATAGGTCTTACATTCTCTACTGCAAATTATATTGCTGTCATAACTCACAAAGAAATACTTGTAGTATGTTAAGAACAGTTTACTATCTAAGACTGCAAATTGCTTAGCTAACCCATATAAATTTTTAGGCTGCAAGTCTTCAATGCCATAAGCCTTTGTCAAGATGTACTCCAATTTCCAGCTGGGTTCTTCTTTCATGTTAGCCTCTGTGAGGTTTAAATAATACTGCCAAATATCCTACAATTAAAAAAAAATACAAATCCATATTCATATCTCAACATTCACTATAGGTTAGGGGGAGCACATTGTTATGAAAGGAAAGGAAAACTAGACTCGGTTTCAAAGGACCTGGATTTGAGCTTCTACTCTATTAATTCCAAAAAATCATGGGCAAGACACCTAACCTTTCTGATCTCCACTTTCCTCATCTGTTAAATGGCAATATTATTTATGCCAACTACCTTACAGAATTGGGAAGAAAGCACTTTGTAAACCATGAGACGTTACTTGAATGTGAGCTATTATTATTATACAATGAGAACACCAATCAATTAAAAGTTGTATGAGTAACTGGTAAGATTAATTTGGAAGTTTGTAGCTCACATCTGTACAAAGAAAGGGGGGAGCTAATTTTTTATTTTAAAAGAATTGCACCATTAAAAACCCTTTCTTCTCTTTTCTCCAACCAAAGATTTAAGTACCATCAAGCAACCAATAAAAAGGTATTACTTAGAGCTTAATATGTGCCAGGAACTCTGTGCTAGGTGCTGGGGATGCATATAAAAACAATGACAAAAAACCTAGTATTTATATAGCACTTTAAGGTATAATAACAAAGCATAATAAATATGTTAGCTCATTGGAAAGAAATAAAACCATCTTTACTTACAATGAGCTGTTATTCTAATGGAGGAGAGACCATGTGTTTATAAAATAGCATGATTCCAAAAATTCTCTAAGTATTTTCCTCCTTAGTTATTGGTTTGTTTCAGCCTGAGAAGTCACATTATTAGTTTTCCATTCACAGATACTGAATCTGTATAGGAAAAGTGAGCTGTCAGATTGATAAAAATTTACTGGATGATTCAGGCCAAAAAGAAAATGCTTTTCTTAGAAAAAGTCAGACAACTGAGGCCAAAAAAGGTTACACTAGCCCAGACTGCAAACTAGTTATTTTAATTCTCCATTTCATTTTGTGGGATAGATACAGATAGAGTCTCATTACTCCAACCTTTCTTGCATGAAAATATATATTTTATCAATAGGAATATCAGAAAAAAACACTTCAGCACACTCAATATCATGGGGAGGGGGAATGAAATTGGTACCAAATATAGCATTCAGATTCCTTTGACTATCTCTATAGGCATCTCCCAAGACCATTTCTCAAACACTGTTGAGACTACACTTTCTCTGTAAAAAATCTTTATTTAAAGTTCTGTTTAAATACCTTTTTAAATCTTTTTGTTGAGTGAATTTAGAATTTGTAAATTGTAGCTTTTTTTTTTAATTAGGTTACCTCAGAAAACAGAAGTATCTAAGCCTGTGTATAATGGTTTTAAAGAGAAGAGTGAATGTGAATGTTAGGTCATATGATGATACCCAACTAAGTGACTGATTGGGAAAATATTGGAACAAATTAGTGAAGTGGCTATGAATTCATTTCTGTTTATGGGTGGAAGAAGTTCTGAAGATACAGAAGATAAAACTTACAGGGGAATCATGTCAACTTCAGGCTGAGCAAGAGGAATGATTCTGCTGAAATAACCCTAGTTGTGGCTTCAAGGGGTTAAACTAAACTATAGCTCAGTATATCTATATTCCCATGTTGCTTCTGATTCCAAAAGAATAGTATGAATTATAAGAAAGTGTCTAATTTGGCCTCAGGAGACACTGAGTGAAAAGAAGAAAATTTTAATAAAGCAATAATTAATCACAAGAAAGAATAATCTGCTTCTTTTACTTACCTGTATGATCTTGGGTGAATCACTTAACCTGAATAAGTATTTGCCAAATGATAAAGTTAGACTAGATAAGAGTCTAACTCAAATAGAAATTGATCCCTTCAGGTATATATTGACTTAGAAAACTTCAAATTAATCTTATCTCTGATGTGTTGTATTTTTATTCATTTTGTTAAATATTTCCCATTTTTATCAGGTTCCAGCATCCAGATTGTTGTGTGTCCCTGACACTAGCTCACAGCAATGTTTGCCACCTCTGGACTAAACAGCCTCTAAAGTTCCTTCCAGTTCAAAATCTATAATTATAAGACCCTAATTTGTCTCCTAGGACCCCCCCCTTCCTCCTCCAATCTATGCTTCAAAACAATAGCTGCCAAAATACTCTTCCTTAAGCACAGGCTTGTTCCCTAGAGTGAACACCCCATTTCCCACCTCCATGCCTTTGCTCAAGCTGGAAATACTCCCTCTTCTTCTAAATGAATAATTCTAATGGATGAATATTCATTATGAATGAATGACCTAATGAATAACCTAAAGAAATGAGTATTCTAAATGAATGAAAACACAACACATCAGAGATAATGTTAATTTGAAGTTTTCTAAGTCAATATACACCTGCAGGGATCAATTTCTATTTGAGTTTGGCATCTCTTATCTAGTCTAACTTTATCATTTTACAAATACTTATTCAGGTTAAGTGAGCCACCCAAGATCATACAGGTAAGTAAAAGAAGCAGGTTATTCTTCTCTTGTGATTGACGATTTTCTTAGAACCCTTAGTAAGGCTCAGATCAGGTGCCACTTCTTAGGGGAAACCTTTCCTGATTACTCAGTTATTAGTACTCTTTCCCTCTTCAAATTATCTTGTACTTACTTAACTTTTTAGATATGATATTCTTCAGTAGAATGTAAGTTTCTTGAGGGCAAGAACTGTTTTCAATTTTGTCTTTGAATCCCTAATGCATAACACAGGGTCTTGCCCAAGGAAATATTTAATAAATGTTTGCTGAATTGAAATGAAGAAATAAGAAGACTCCCATGGCCAAGCTTTGGCAAACTAAAAATTATAAATATCACACACATAAGCAGAACACAGAAGACATCGAGAGAGAGAGAGAGAGAGAGAGAGAGAGAGAGAGAGATGCTTTGATTCTGAAACATCCACACTGCATTATGTTGTGTTGTAGGGTTATGCTAAAGAGACAATATAGTAGAAGTAAGGGGGCTGCCTTGGAATTAAGAAGAAGTGGGTTGAGACCCCGCCTCTGATTCATACTAGTGATCTGATCTAGACAAGTCACTTAATCTCTCAGTGCCCCCTAGCAACTCTCTAATAGTACAAATTACAGATAATTGCTGAATGAGATTCAACAACAATAGTTCCTTACATCAACGAAACCACAGGTTCAGAATTTTTTAAAATCATAATTAACCTAGAGAAAGTTACCAAAACATATATTAATGTCCCTATTTGAATAATGTCAACTTACCAGCAATTGATAATCATGAAGATCATACTGAAACAGTCTGACTCCAGGGTTGTTGGTTTGTTTTTCTAAAACATTTTTCACTGGTGTCACAGCAGGAGCCACAAACAAGGAATTGACTGGATTCCCTAGTTAAAACACACATACACAATGTAAACTATATTAAACAAATGTTTTTAGAGTACATATGGTTTATACTGCCTCTCTTCGTTAATCTAATCCCAATAGATACACATTAAGAATTTTATTCAAATGTCATAGAGTAGTAAGCACTTTTTATTGTTCTAAATCTCTTCTTGAGGAAAAACAAATCACAATATCCTAGAGAAACAGACCATTTTCCTCAGGGTTTTTAATTAGCAGGAGAACACAACTGAAACAGACAATACAAATTAAATAAAGGGCTTAGTTGACAAAGGGGACAATAATACTTTATTTTTCTACAAGAGAAATATCTTTCAATATCTATTGAAAGAAAATATATTGGATGTTTTTGTTGATTGCTAATGTGTGTATTATATCTATAGATATATACCTATAAATTTTGTACATATGTATGTGTGTATGTGTATGAGAAATTATTATGAGATTGGAAACCAGTACACATATTGATTCAGTTCCGACTTATCTACAAAACGGAGGTGAGCAGAAATATACATAATCAAAATGTAAAAAATCTACATCATAATTGCCTTAAGAATGGATTTTTGTTCTTATATATAATATGGATATCAGATATTCTGGGAATCACCAATACTTTAGAGTGTGATTGGTCATGCAGTCTGATAATATAACTCAAGATGACCTACAAAGTTTCCATACTTTCCTTTCCTGCCCCTCTTCCAAGCTCTTCATGCCACTGCCAAGGAAAACAGCATCACCACTCGGACTAATACAAAGCAGCAGCTGGGGGCAGAGTTGGCTTCTCAAAATAAAGTTGTGGGTATAATGCATCTTGCCTTGAATGGGTATGAAGTATTTGCCAAAAAATGTTTTTGTTTCCTGCTGCTTTTAGGCTAGATTAAGCAAGACCTTGTTTTGTATGAAGAAAGGTTTTGATTTAAGCAGAACAGGTGACAACATTAGGAAGTACTTAAATGAGAAATTCATTGTAGGTTAACCACTGATAATCAAAAGCTAAATATATTAAATTTTAAACAATAGATAAAAGGAGCCTTGCCCTCTGAGTTCCTTGGACTTTAAAATTAGTCAAGCAAACAACAATGGAAATAACTACCAGCAGATTATCTCTAAATTCAAGGATGATATTTATTCCAAAACAAAATTAACTTAGCTGGAGTTTAAGAGCCTCTCTCACTGAGGCCAATCAAGTAATGTTGAGTCTATATAGCCAAGGAAAAGTACTATGTACAAGCTTAAAAATCACACTATCATAACATGTTAGAGTAGACAGGATAATTTCTACTTCTAGAGTAAAACCCAAAAGGTTGCAGAAAAAGGTGGGATTTGGGGGTCTGAATCATTGTACCCTTTTGTATACATAGCTTTTAATTAATTAATTTTGTATTCTGCTGTATCAAGTTAGCTGTTTAGACAGACACTATGTTGAAGCATCAATTTGCAAACATATCATTCAACATTACCTTTTCTATCTGAAAGGACCATAATGCTATCCCTGTGAGTGTGTCCATAAAATTGTCCTGCAATAACATCACTGTAGTTGTGGAAAATACCAATCAGTTTCTCATTGTAATATTCTCTCATAGCAGTTACATCTCTTGAACATGGTAGATATCCCACTGGTACATGGGCTATCACATATACCTGAAAAAAAAACAAATACAGTAAGGCATAGTAGCACATTTCTAAGTTATAACCTAGATCTCTCTTATCAACCGTACATGGTAAGATCTGAGACATATTAAATAAGTTGCATTCATTGTAAACCATCTAATTAGAAAGTCATTTAAAATATCTAGGTTCCTAGATACTATAATCACATTTTTGGAGGGAAAAAAGGAATGAGATAATAAGCCATTCCCCTGAACTTATCCTTGAATAATTATGTAAACACTATTTTCAGCTGTTTTCCCATTTGAACTACATAGATGCCTGGGTATGTAGTACTATAAATTCTTCATAGGAGCATAAAATTATAAATCTAAAGCTGGAAGAGAGCTCAGAGGCAATATAGTTCAACCCATTCATTTTAGACTTGAGGAATCTCAAGAATCTCTAGTGATCTGCCCAAGGTTTCAAAGGTGGTAAACATCAGAGGCAAGACTGGAACTCAGACTGTCTGACTCGAAAGACAGGGTTCTTCCCTCTGTAATATTCAGTTTGTGTGAAAGTTCTTCATGAAAATAATTTTTAAAATCAGTTTTGTGTCTATGGTCCAAAACAAGTTAAAAATTGTTATTATATACAACAGGATTGGCAGAGTTAGACATGTTGCCTAAGGTAGTTAGTGCCAATATAATGAAAAATTCTAGTACTTCTTGTTAGACCTCACTCTATCCCTTAGGTATGGTTCCTAGGAATACAGAGAAACTGTGACACATTATAACCTCTTCCCTTCTGTGTTACCTCCTTGTTATATATGTGTATATATATTTATATATATATATATTTAAATTCTTGCACTAAACATGCTTAATTAATCATCATCATTATTATTATTAATAAGTAATTATTATTATTAATTATCATTAGTACCTGCCATTTGAGAAGGGAAAGCCCCATAGTGGGAGGTAATAAAACTATTCTTCCACCTCATATACTCCTTGTATAGGTTGCCTTTCTTTCCCTTTTATTGTTTCTGCCCCAGTTAGCACACATTCAGACTTAGTTCTCTATGTTGTGTCCTTAAGGTGTGCCCAGCAGATCTAGGATCCATATCCTATCCCGAGCTTCCCTTTCTTTTCTACCTAACCCATCACTCAATAGCCCAATTGTTTAAATCCCTTGATGACTCCTGAGGTCTTTAGGACAGCATGGTCTCTAACCTTTTCTTTATTTTGCCGAGAGCTCTTTAGCGTGTTCTCCAGCCACTCAAACTGATTTGCAGGGTCAGTCTTGTTAAGAGTGACAGCATTGGGGCTATAGTACAAGTTTGTGTTTAGACTGATGATCCTGAGGGACTGACGGCTCAGATGGGATGGAACGGTCTGTGAATAGAAGCCACCTGTGAAAAAAATTCAACACACCTTATGAGAAAATACATGCACACACAAAAGCAAATCCTTAACTGAGATGCAGCATCTCCAGTCAGAAAGGTAGACTTGATCCCTCTATTTTTTCAGCAAGCACAGTCATGGATTGTCATTAGGAGGTTACAGAATAGGGATACTTACATATCATAATGGTATTCCAGATTAGACTATTTTTTTTAATCTCTAAAATGAATTAAGTAGAACTCTCAAGACTAAAAGGAGCAGATCAGGTGCTGACTTGCACTGGTAAGTGGCATGGTCACTAGGCCCACGAAATCGCAGATCCAGTTCAAGTTTTGAAATTACTGAATCCTGGTTTGCTCTCTCTTTAACAAAAATAGTTTGCATTTACATAGTGCTTTAAGGTTTACAAAATGCTTTACAATATGTTCTCATTTCATCCTCACAACCCTGGGAGATGGGCATTATTTTAATGCACATTTTACAGTTGTTAAAACTGTATTTGAGTTTGACACCACCAGTCTAGGTGATAGGTGATAAGGGCCTGAACTAATGGTAGCTCTGTGAACAGAGAGAAGGAATCAGAATTGAGAGATGTTGTAAAGATGAAAACAGCAAGATTTGGCAAATGATTAGACATGTTGGTGATGATAAGTGAAGAATCCAGGATAAAGTTAAAATAAAACTAGGGTAATTAAAAAGATGATGATAACCTCAAGAAAAAAAACAGAAAAGTATGAAGGTAGAGCTGATTTGAGGGAAAAGACAAGGAGTTCCATTTTGGTTTTGAGCTGGTTCTTCAATATCCAATTTGAAATATCCACTAAGCAGTTGATAATGAAGGACTAAAGTTTAAGAGAAAGAGGTTTTGAGTCATCTGTATAAAGATAACTAAATTGAAAAAAGCTTTTAAGGTAACTAAGAGAGAATAGAGCAAAAAGGACTCACAGCACAGCCTAAGGGAAAACCCACACTTAGGAAGTAAAAAATGGATGATCAACCTGCAAAGGAGATTGAGAAAGAGCAGTCAGCTAAGTAAGGAAACTATGATAGTGTCACAAAAACTCAGGAAGGAGAGGATGGAGGAGACTTGGACATGTTTGAAAACGATAAGGAAGGAACCAATAAATAGAAAGGATTTGAAAAGTAGAGAGAAAGAAGACAATTAAATGTGCAATCATCTGGACAAGGAGAAAGACCACCTTTTCATCAGAGACAAGAAGAAAGGACAGATTAGAGGATGTCAAGGAATTTTAGAGGGAAAGAGGGATATAATGGGAAATGGGAAGGATATAAAATAGAAGGTATTGTGGAATAGGAAGGTTAGAATATTAAACAAAAACTCTCCAATGGTGAAGATTGTGGAAGTACAGAGAATATTTACACTTGTTCTCCTCTTCTTCTTTCTCCTCCTCCTTTTTACCTTCTTCCTCTTTCCTCGCTCCTTTTTTTATCTGATAGCATTATAGGATTTAGAGCTGAAACAGACTATTGAGCTAATCTACTCCAGCCTCTTCATTTTACAGATGAAGAAATAGTCCCCAAAAGGTTGTGACTAGCCAAAATTCACACAGAGCCCGGATGAGATCCAAACCCAGTTTTCTAACTCCAAATTCAGTGTTCTCTCCACTACGCCACTGGATACAATCAGTGTGATCTCACGATTTTTTTTTTTTTTTTTGCCACAGGGATAATTGAAGTGAAGGAGAATGAGTATGAACATTCTACTGAAACTTATTTTTGAAAACCTGACCTCCATGTCTTCATGGGACTATAATCACTTTCACTGAGGAGTGTGGGATGGAAAATAATGAGCGTAAATGATTTATACCCTACCACCCTACCATCAGACAGAACCACCCACATCTAAACAAATGATACAGAAATGTGACTCTATCCTGGTTATGGGCAGCTAGGTGATATAGTGGATAAAGTGCCTGTTCTGGAGTCAAGAAGACTCATTTTTGTGAGTTCAAATTTGGTCTAAAAATGGACATGATAAAAGGCAAAAATGGTAGAGATTTAGCAGAAGCAGAAGAGATTAAGAAGAGGCAGCAAGACTAAAGCCTTTGACTATATGGGTCACAACAAAACGTGGCAAGCCCTCAAAGAGCTGGGAATACCAGATCATCTTACACATCTCCTGAGGAATCTGCCTGCAGGCCAAGAAGTAACAGAACTGAAAATGGAACAACTGATTGGTTTTAGATTGGAAAAGGAGTACAGTAAGGCTGTGTATTATTACATTATTTATTTAACTTATACGGAGAGTACATCATGCAGAATGCCAGACTGGACGAATCAAAAGCTGTAATTATGGTTGCTGGGAGAAATATCAACACAGCACCACTCTGATAGCAGAAAGTAAAGAGGAATTAAGAAGCCTCTTGATGAGGGTGAAAGAGGAGAGTCTGAAAGCTGGCCTGAAGTTTAACATCAAAAAACACTAAGAGTGGGTAACTGTTCCCATCACTTCCTGGCAAACAGAGAGCAAAGAAATGGAAGCAATGTCAGACTTTATATTTTTGGACTCAAAGATCACTGCAGATGGTGACTTTAGCTTTGAAACTAAAAGATGCTTGCTCCTTGGAAGGAAAGCTATGAGAAATTTGGACAGCACACTAAAAAGCAGAAACATCACCTTGCAAGCAAAGGTCTATCTAGTCAAAGCTATGTTTTGTTTTATTTTGTTTTTTCCAGTAGCAATGTATAGATGTCAGAGTTGGACTAAAGGAAGGCTGAGCACCACAGAATTGAAATTTTTAAGTTGTAGTGCTGGAGAAGACTTTTGAGAGTCCCTTGAACAGCAAGGAGATCAATTCAGTCAATATGTAAAGAAATTAATTCAGGCTATTCACTGGAAGGTCAAATACTGAGAATGAAGCTTAAATGCTTTGGCCACAAAGCATTCTCATTAGAAGTCAGGACTCACTAGAAAAAACCCTGATATTAGGAGAGATTGAAGGCAAAAGGGAAAAAATCGGACAGCAGAGGATGAGATAAACAGAAACAATGAACATGAACTTCAATAGACTTTGAGAGATAGTGGAGGACAGAAGGCCCTGATGTGCCATGGTTCATGGGGTTGTGAAGAATCAAACATGACTGAATGACTGAACAACAATAGCATCAAATACAAGCCATTGTTATAAGTGTTGGAGGCATGGCTCTAAGGTCAGAACCCTCTTAATTCAGGTTCAATGTCAGGATAAAATGAGGCATTTGAAAGTCACTGAACATTTAACAAAGGAAGTTTACTCTGCCCTAAAACAGCAAGAATATGCAATGAGAATACCGTAACACTTAGGTTATCTGTATACAACCCCCTCATCTCCAACTGGAAAAGCATCTGATAATAGGTTGTCAGAGTATAGTGACTCTTATGGTCTTAGGCACCCACCATTTCTGAGAGGTGCAGATTACATGTGACTGGAAATTTCATATTCCTAGATAATCAGGAAACTGAGTCAGGGAAACTAAGGTCAATCAGGTCCTGAGGGCAGCTTTGTTTTCTTTCAGGTAAGGCCTCCCAAAATGTTGTAGGTAGGAGAAAAGAAGATGTGTCAGAGAAATTCTGGTCCCATTTGTTTGTTCAATCATTAGTTTCCTCTAAGTTCACTTCCTGATCTAAATCTTATGAACCTAAATGCAAAGAATAACCAAGCAACATTGGTCCAGTAGTATTTCTAGGTTATCTTTAAGGCTGTTTTTGGCAGACTTGAGCCTAAAATGCAGAATACAGTATTAATAATTTCACATGTACATATGTATGTATGTATATATATGTGTGTGTGTATATGCATATATATACATATACATATATCTCTGTGTGTACATATATACATACATATGCATAAAATTTCTCACTTCATCTTGTAATTAATTATCATTTTAAAGATAAAGAAATTCTGGCTGAGAAAGAATAAGTGACTTGTCCAGGGTCACTCAACTAGTAGGTATTAGAGGAAAAGTTTAAATTCAGTTGTGTTTCCCTCAAGTCCTGCTATATGTACTATACCAAGCTGCCTCTTCATTCACACTCCCCCCACAATCTGTTGTCAAAGGTGCAGTCTTTACCTTTACATCTCCTGTCTTCCTTTTCTCTATTCATACAACCACCAATCTTACAGATACCCGCCATCACCTCTTACCTAGACTATTGCAATAGTCTTCTAATTGGTTTCCCTTCATCAAATCTCTCCCTATTCCAATTCAACTTCCATTTAGCCGCCAAGGCGATATTCTTAAAGCATAGGTCTAACAATGTCACCCCTCTACTCAATAAAATCCAGTGACTCCCTATAACCTCCAGGACCAAATATAAACTCATGTTCGACACTGAAAACTCTTCACAAGCTGACCTTCTATCTTTCTAGTTTTGTTTTTACATTTTACTCCCCTCCACACACTCTATGATCCCACTACAGTGACCTTTTTTTTTTTGCTGTTGTTGAGTTTTTTCAGTTGTATACGACTCTTTGTCGTATACAACGTATACATGCCACTCTTTGTGGCCCCATGTAGGGTTTTCTTCTCAAAGATACTGGAATGTTTGCCATTTCCTTCTCCAGCTCATTTTACAGATGAGGAAACTGAGGCAAACAAGGGTGACTTGCCCAACATCACATAGCTAGTGTTTAAGGTCATATTTGAACTCACCACAATGAGTTTTCCTGACTCTAGGCCCAGAACTTTATCCACTATGTCACCTAGCTGCCCCATAGTGCCTTGGTATTCCTCAAACAAAGCATTCCATCTCTCAACTCCCTGAACAAGTCCTGATGGTCCCTCATTTATGTTTAAAAGGCTTTCCTTCCTTGTCTCATATTACTAGCTTCCCTGACTTCTTTTAAGACCCAAGTCTTGACATCCTACCTTCTGCAGAAGGCCTTTCTTGGCTCCCCATCTCAAGTCTCTTCTCTCTAAGACTACCCTTTCATTTACATTTTATGTATTTTGTATGTACATAGTTGCATGTTGTCTCCCCGTTAGAAGGCGAGTTTCTGCAAAAAAGGGATCTTGTTTTTTTTTCCTCATTTTATCCCCTTAATTTAGTACAGTGCTTGACACAAAACACTTTGAAATAAATGCTTGTTGACTGACCAAACCACTTCCAGTAGTCTTCAATTTAGCATTTCCTTAAGGACATTATTTAGTCATCAGTTTGTCTAGATTTGAAATTTCTGCAAGTTCTTCTCTTTCCAGGGGTTGTTGTTAGGTTAAAGAGTTCATCTAGGGTTTTTCGATGTTTTGTCAGTATGCCATTTAAATAGACCTTAAATGACCAGATTAAAGGAAGGTTTCTACCAAATAACCTACTTTTTAGGGCATCTATCAGATTGGGCACTATGGTATACGATCTATGTGTTTATACTCTTCCAACAGGCATAGCAATATACTTCCTGTATGCCCATTGTCAAAAATGTAACATCTCACCATTCCAATCTACATTGGAAAAGCTCAGTCATTTAAATTTTACATGGTGGTTAGTCTTACAAAGTTGTGGCTAATTGTTTAAAGTTGGCACTTACATATGTTCACACTTTTTAATTGACTTGGCTACTGCACTTGTTTCAGAGCTATTTTTTATTCACATTCAAATCCATATGTCAACTTTTGTTTCATGTGTCACATGCTAATTTTTCTCCAGACAGTCATAAATTCAGGAAGGGAGGGAAGAAAACAAAGGACAGAACTACCTACAAGATAAACTGGTTCATAACAGCTGTACTAAAGCAATGTTAACAAGTTACAGACTTCCAGTAAAACAGGGTGCTGGAGCTCTCTGAGACTGGTATGGCACACCCAACCAAATGCAATTAATTAAGGACCAAGTCTAAACCACATGTTTTCAAAGCATGATAAAGAAGGTATCTATAGCTCTTGAAATTTACCTGTCCTCAAAGTACGGATGGATTCCTCAGTTAACCACGGTTTCCAGAAGTTTGCTACAGCTTCGTATACTTTGCTGGTGGATATAGGTAGTTGGTCCTGACCAAATGTAACAACATAAAGCACAATTTAAATTTTGAATAAGGTACATGGATGAAAAACAATGATGGTAGAACTCGTTTAAAAAATAAATAACCTAAATATAATGATCATATTCTTATGACCATGAGAACTCTAAATCACACAAAATCTTCTGAAAATTTAATATAATTACGGATGCTAATTTGATTCCCTTGGTTTCTGTGATCTACCCACAACATACTCCCTTTCACAATTTACTCTAGCATGCTCTTTATCTGAGGTAGTGTGGATAGAGTGAATAGAGTGCCAGACTTGACATCAGGAAGACCTGGGTTCAAATATTACTTCTTAACACATATGAACTGTGTGATGCAGAGCAAGTCACGTATCTTCTATGTGCCCCAAGATCAAAAAATCCAGAGCTGGAAGGGACCTCAGAAGTAACCTAATCCAAACCTCTCATTTTGCAGATGAGGAAACTGAGATAGAGGGAAACTAAATAACCTGCCCAAGATCATAACAGGTAGCAAGCATCAGATAGAAGGTTTGAACTGAGGTGGGACCTCTGACTCTATAGTCAGTGCTCCTTTCACTGTAATATTGCCACAGATGAACATTCTAGAATAAATTTCTCTAGGACTTATCTACAAAGTTTTGAACCGATTGCGAAGGATTTTTATTGGGAGAGGGAATTCCCATACTTGTGATTTCTTCACAGACTCTTGTATATTCATCTGTAAAATGGGGATAATAGCATCTACTTCTCAGGGTTATTGTAAATGAAATAACTGTAAAGTGCTAAGCACAGTGTTTGGCATATATCAAGCACTATTTAAATGTTAGTTATTATTGTTATTATCATCTTTATCATTATTCTTATTCTAACATTGTCTCTTCATCTGAAGATTCTTTACATCTGTTTTCATTTTATCTTTCAAATGGCTTGAGCTTCTCAAAGAATTCTTGACAAATGCAAGTTATTACTTTTATATTCATGGAGAAAATATAGCTGTTGTTACAGTAGCATAAATAATTAAAAAAACACACCACCTTAATTTTAAAGAATGGAGATGTAAATTAAAACCCTAGACATTTTCAGAATCAGAAAATCATTGTAATATATTAACATTGTGACATGCCTAAAAATAAAAAATTTTTTCCCGTAACTGCCCACCCATATATTAGTGATGGAAACTCCTCCAAGACATAGATCCACATGCCAGAACTAATACAACATCCTAGTCATTGCCCAATGTGACCCAAAACATTAGTTCAAGATGATTTTTCCTAATTGCCAAATATATAATGGCAACTTGCGTACATTCAGGTTAAGTAATAACCAAACAACTTATTCTAACTGAAAGGAATTACTTAATTTTGTTTTGCTCTGTACAGGACTTCAATAACAATCTATAGCATAAGAATCCCAAACCATCCTTGATCAGGTCTTATTTATTACAATTAAGTGGAGATTCCAGGATGCTAGGTCGAAAAATATTACAGCATTTAGAATTATCAAAGCATAGAATTTTTTAGAGATGAATGGGATCTTAAATATCATATAATTCAACCCTCTCATTTTATAGATAAGGGAATAAGGACTTGCTCAAGGTCACCATAAGTAGGAGGTCTGCAACCAGAATGAAGATTTCCTTTATCATGTTCCATCCAGTCCCCCCCATTGCCTTCTGGGTGTGTAACATCCACAGCCAAGAATAAAGGAAGGGTACTAGGCTCATCCATCTTTACTAGTACAGGGGTGTGGAAAAAACCTAAAGATTAATTAGGGACCCTGACCCAGGCTGTTTCCTTGGGTGGGAGCAAAAAGGAAACTCAAAAGCTGCCAAGCAAATATCTACCTCTTCTATTGTAATGGGTGGAGATGTGAATATATGCATGTGTGTTTGTGTATCTATGGTAAATATTTACATGCCTTCATTAGACATTATGCTTCTAATTCAATAGCATCTTTCTCAGTCATCATTGCCTAATACCCGCTATAATTATTTAGAGAATACTCCGGAAGAAGTTGTCTCTGCGCTTGTCATGGTGTAATTTGTATTTCTGTTAATGATGGGAGGACAAAAATCATTTTAATAATATGATCAAATAAGGGAGAGTTCTATGAGTATGGAGCATTGCACATATCATCATCAAAAAAAAGTGATATGTTGGTTATTTTGATTGTTTTTTCTTTTTTTTTCCTATTTTCTGTTATATGGGAGGAGAGATATATTCAGAAACAAAGGTAACAAAACTGTAATTTAAATAAAAATTGAATTAAAAAAAATTAATGTGAGCCATTCAGAAAACCATACAAAGACTTCTAAGAACTGACGTAGAGGATAAGAAGCAAGAAAACAATAAACACGACTACAACAACGTGAATTGAAAGAAATACAACCACACACCCACAAACATATACATGTTGCATATACTGACATACGTGGTTGACATATTGATCTGGTTTTTTCCTTTTTTTTAAATTCTTTATTATGAGGGCTAGCTTATAGAGCAGAAAAACCTGTCTACATTTGCTAATTAAGGCAATCTAAAAACAAAAAATAACAATATTTTTTAAAAATAACAATGCTGATTTCTCAAGCTGAGAAATTAAAGCTCTTTTACCAAAAATATTCATGAGCTGAGAGAATACATGGGGTTTTATATGGTAAGGTAAATGAACCTTATATGGTTTAGGATGGTTATATTCAGTCTAGCCACTCTATTCTTCAAAATCCTCTCTCCTCCTTGAGTTTCAGAGACACAATATAATATTGCTTCTCTTCCTACTTGACTAAGTGTTATGTCTTAGTCTGTTTCTGTGGCTCCTTGTACAATCCTGAGTCTTTATGCCGTGTGCTTCTTAAGGTTTTGTCTGTGGATCTTCTTTGATTCCCTTGGCAAATTCATTTATTCCTATAGCTTTAGTTCCCACCTCTATGCTTATGACTACCAAATTTTTATCTCTAGTATTCATTTCTCTTCTGAGCTTTGGACTCAAATGAGCTCCAGATGCTTTAGAACATCTCTACCTGCATATTCACTGACTGTGTCCCATACCAGGAACTCTGTCTCTCCTCACATCTTCCTCCTTGCTTCCTTCAAATCTTAGCTGAAGTCCTACCTTCTACAAGAAACCTTTCCCAGATCTCCATAATCTTAGTGCCTTCCCTCTGAGATTCTGTCCAAATGATTCTGTCTATATCTTATTTGTACAGTCATTTCGCACATTATTTCCCCCATTAGACTGTGAACTTCTTAAGGACAGGGACCAATTTTGCCTTTCCTTGTATTCTCTGGTGCTTAATAAGTGATGGTTGATTTGACTTAACTATTAGGTAGCATGCAATTTGCACTACTTTGAACAAAATGTTATTATAAGTTAGCATTATTAATAAGAAGATGGTGGCATTGACTCTAATCAGAGGAGACAAAGATGCCTTATATAAACAAGTACACATTTTCAAAGAAATTGGTCAAAATGTGTCCTTTGACACTGATTAATGCCCTTATCACATTTAATCACAAACAAAAAATACACTGGATGTAACATGCATCTTTGAATATTGTCTATTGCTTTAATTTAAACAATTATCTACTTTTGCTAACCCACAGTTCCCCCAACATTCCTCATAGCACTAAATCTTAGTATCTACAGGTCATCTGAAACTTAAATTTCATTCTAGAATTCAGGAGTAATTCTAAACATATATTGCAACAGCCTTTTCAGCCACACTTATTTTAATCTGTAGCAATAGGGAGCTATATTCAATAGAATAACTGGAATCCTTGGATAATTCCCAAACCTAACTTTGGCCAAGAGTTCATAATCACTGCCAACCTTAATGACAAAGTGAAAACTTAAAAGTTTAGGTTTATCATCTTTCCTCTCTCCCCCCTCATAGAAGCAATAAAAAAATAATAAAATGATTTAAAAGAGGGAAACTAGATGGTGAGAGTAAAAGTAACAAAAGGGGCTGTGGTGATTCCCAAAATGGATCATCAATCCCTGAAAAATCAATAAATTGATTCTACATTTTTATACAAAAACAATAGTTCATTTATTTTTGTTTACCCCATCCCTACCCCCTTTTCCATCAAATAGTCAATAATAGATCCTAACAGCTCTACTTTTATTCTCTAAAAATCACAATTATTTTAAGGCTTCTGGAAGATAAAGTTACCTGAGGCCAGTAGTCATGATTGCCCAAAGCAGGAAAAACCTGGAAATTGGGAAAGAGGCTTTGGATGGTGGTTGTCATATTGCCAATGACATTTATTACTATATCTGTGGAGAGTTCCTTTACTGGAACATGAGGAGGGCTATCCCTGAAGAGAAGATAGTGTTCATTAATTAATAAAACAGATGGCAATTAAAGGAAAATGGAGTTTTGTAAGTTTTGCCAATCACCTTAGATAACACAATGTTTACAAATCAAGACATGCAAAGTTGCTGCAAATAATATTCCAAAATATACTGGTATCACCCATATTTTTCATTACTTCACTACCACATTCAACAGTTCTTTTTTGCCCTTATTTCTCCTGCACACTAAGTTTCCTCACCTATAATATGGGAATAATACTAATAGCACTAATTTCACAGGATTTTTGTAAGGATTAAATGAAATAATGTATGTGATGTACTTTGCTAATCTTAAAGCAGTATAGAAAGTGATTAGTTATTGTTAATGATTCCTTCAGAGGATCAACAAAGAAAGTGAATCCAGAGGGACCCGGGAAACAGAAACCAAGAGAGAACATTTAAATGTGAAAAACAAACAGGTATAAGAGAGAGGTATGGGGTAAAAGATGTAAAGTCATGGACTTACAAGGATCAGTTGAAGAAGAAAGAGAAAAGACTAGGGGATAAATAATAGCTTTCTTCATGTACTTGAAAGGCTGAAGAGAGATTGGCTTTGTTTTGATTAATCCCAAAGGGCATAATTAAGCAATCAAAAGGCAGAAGTGGCAAATAAGAAGATATGGACTCGTTAAAAAAAAAAGTTCCTAAAAACTAGAGCTATCCAAACGTGAAATGGACCACCTTAATAACCAATGGAACCCTTTTCTGGACATCTTTGAGCAAACAATAGATGAACACTCTTGGGGTATGTTGTAGAGGGCAATCCTATTCAGGTCCAGGTTGGGCTAGGTAATCTCTGAGGTCCTTTCCAACTCTGGCATCCTAAGAACATGCAAACTTCTGATTTCTGATTTTTTGTTTAGGTCCTAGACACATAGACAGTACATTCATGATAAGAGTAATATAGAAAGAACATGAAAGAAAAAAAAAATTAAACTCCTAAAACATATATTCCATGATTTCTTATAAGAACTATCAACACAATGATAAAATACATTCAATACTTTCTGTAAGACATGCTTTTCAAAAGCATTCCATTTGTGAAATCTTTAATGTTTTACAATGAATCATTTTAATTATATGAAAAGTTTGTAGTAAAGTAACTCCTATTACACATAAGATCAGCTTCCTCAATATCTCTTACCATTTTTTTAAAAAAATATTAATTTTAGCTAGTGTTATGGAACCAAATAAATGTAAAACACTTGAGGAAATATATTCTATATAACATCTTCATAAGTCATTTGCTATTATATTGAAGTTATTCATAAAGTAGACACTATATAAATTCTAATTATTGGCTTGATCACTTACCCAGTCCATATCATGAAAGATGCTTGTTGTCCAGAACTCTTAATGAAATTAAATGCTGATAAAATGAGCTGGTATGGAGAATCACATAGAAAGTCTCCAAAAGGACCAGGGTTGGAAGCATTTGCCCCCTTGGAAGATGAACATACTTTTGTATGGTCCTCAGTGATGTGGTATGTAGGGTCTAGGTGTAAGTCAGTCACATGCCAAAACTGTCCTACGGATTGAAAGGAAATATGGTTGAAACTCTTCTGCCTCTAAGCTCAATTTTACACAATTTTACAAGAAACTGGAAGCAGTTCTCTACATGATGGCAGTGGAAATTTTGAGTCAATGATGTGTTCCTGTGGCCTACAGTTAAATGTAATTTTTCCATGCGAGTAGATGAGGAAGCAGGAGACAGTTGGAAGAAATGATTTGACTCACTGGACTCATAAACTTGAGTCACAGTTGATGGACTCAGAGATAGTGTGATGTATAAGAGCTAACTTGCATAATGAAATATATGGAGACACCCTTGTGGAAGGATAGTAATACTACTTTGTGCCTTAATAGCATATTTCCTTGAAGGATTTATGACTTTAGAATTATTCTCCAGGTATGACTATTTGCATTTTTCCATATAGAAAAACTAATATGGAAAGGTGATATGATTTGCTCAGTGTTATATGCTGAGTTAATGGTAGAGCCTGGAGTGAATACTCTTTCTCCTATTTTCTCATATGAAGCTGCACTTGAGATTAATACAGAGTGAATATAATTTTTAAATCAGAAGCTTTTAGTCTAAATGTAGGAATTTCCATTTAGTATTTTTGAAAGCCACCTAATGGCTGCCTATTATCTAGGTTTTCCTTCTATTTTACTTAGCAATAGAAACAGCTGTAGGAAAGGATATAGTCCAATGTTGCTTTAACAGAGCAGCTGAGAAAAGGTGCAGGATGCTTACATTAACCAAGGTCTGATACTACCACTGCCTAGGAATTATCCTAAGGATAAAAGTCATTACATTTAGGAATGTGGCAAGGGATTCCACTCAGGACAGCCACATCAATTGTATGAAACACAACAGTTTCAAGTGTATTAATGTATAATATGTATATATCTACAGAGACTGTATAGTCAAGACACTTGTAAAAAATATCATATTCTACAAGAAATGATGAGCAGGCAGACTTCAGAAAAACCTGGAAAGACTTGTATGGACTGATTCTGAGTGAAGTGAACAGAACCAGGAGAATATTGTACACAGTAATAGCCACGTTGTGCAATGACTGACTTTGACAGACTTAGCCCTTCTCTGCAATGCAAGGATCTAAGACATCTCCAAAGGTCTCATGATGGAAAATGCTATCCACATCCAAAGAAAGAACTATGGTGTTTGAATGCAGATCAAAGCATACTATTTGCTCTTTTTTCTTCTGTTTTGTTTCGTTTTCTCTTTCTTGTGGTTCCTTCTATTGGTTCTAATTCTTCCTTACAACATGACTAATTCGAAAATATGTTTAGTAGGAATGTGTATGTATAGCCTATATCAGATTGCGTGCTGTCTTGGAGAGGAAGGTGGGGAGGGAGGGGGAGAAAAATTTAAAACTCAAAAGCTTATGGAAGTGATTATTGATAAATCAAAATAAATTAATAAAAAAAATCATGTTCTTACTGTTATTCTGAACACTGTCATTTCTAGATCTTAGAATAGGGCTTGGAACATAGCAGATATAATAAATACTTCTTGACTTGACTTGACTTCTTGGTTTACCTCTATCACCATCACAGGCATATTCCCAGTTAGGTAGCTGGCACAGTGAATAGAGATCCTGACCTGGAGTCAAGAAGACTGAGTTTAAATCTAGCCCCAGATACTTATTAGCTGTGTGACCTTGGACAAGTCACTTAACTTCTCTCACTCTCAGTCTCCCCATCTGCAAAAAGGAGGTCAATAATAGCACCTACCTGCCTGAGTTGTCGTGAAGATGAAATGAGACAATATTTGTAAAGTGCTTTGCTAATTTTAAACCACTCTCTAGCTGTTATTATACCCTTAGAACCATAGAATTTTAGAGTTGAAAAAAATATTAGTGACCACACTAGGTCAACCTAATTTTACAGACAAGGGAAAAAAAAGACTAGAGAAGTTAGCTACATTAGAGGGCTAGTTCATGGCAAGATTGGAGTTAAAACTCAGATCTCATGGCATCTAGTCCAAAAAGTGCCCTTTTATACCATTACAAAGAAAATGGCATAGAACGGGTGCCTCTAACAAGAGTGAATAAATGAATAAAGTATTTATTTAGAGCTTGCTATGTGCAAACCACTGTTCTGAGCTCTAGGGATACAATTACAAAAGTAAGACAGCCCCTGTTCCCAAAGAGCTCCCATTCTAATGGGGGAGACAATCCATATGGAAGGTTTCAACTTCAAGTCAGATGGAAATTTCCCATGGTCCTTAGGGTACAATGGCAAAGCAGATGTTAATGTCTGCTTCTTTAATGCCATTTCCACTTTATAAAAATGCTATTAGTTTTTGATGTTGAACCATTTCACAATGCCAAAGACTCTGGTTACCAACAGTCACCAGAAACCTTTACTGATCAATTAATGATCCCCTACCTATAACTTTGAGAATATTGACCTAGAATACTATGCTCTACTCTAAACCTATATGACATGTTAACCCAACACACACATTGGAATTTGAAAAAAAAACCAGTATTACCTTGAAGACAGCCTATCCTTTGCTGTTATACCTAATTAGGTATAACAATCTATAAGAGGGCATCAGGGGTTGGGGAGAGAATCGACAACTAAGTTGAATTTTCAATCATTACTCTATCTAAGCATTACTGAATATAACACCTTCAATATTACATATGACTACATAGTATACTATAACATGTTGCTAATGTTTCTGAAAGAAAAAATTTTTAATGTAGGCTTAAATTCACTTTACTTATTGACTCCCCTTCATATAGCCCTGTATGACCCTGGCAGCTCACTGGGTTTCATTTTCCTTTTCTGTAAAATAAGCATATTAAATTAGATGATCTTTAAGACCTCTTCCAATTATATGACTATGACATTCTACTCCTGGAAGACTATGTAGATTTAACTTTGGCAAATCAAACAATAATTGAAATACAGTGAGTTTTCAGCCCTCTAAGAAGGAGAGTATAGACACTAATAGTCATATTTTGTAGATGAGAAAACTATAGAGAAGCAGGTTAAGTGATTTGTGCAACATTAGCCCAAGGTAAAATCTTAAAGAGGCAAAAATGGATTTGCTTCAACTTCACATTACCTTATCTTCTTATTTTTAACCTTCTAATATTGTATTAATTTTTATATTTTCTTCAATAAGTCAATGATTTTGAAATGATTCCCACATCAATAAACAGTCATTACCTGCCTGTTAGAATGCAATTAATTTCAATTTTGGTGACATTATTCAGTGTTTGCCATTTCTAGTGCCTCAAATGAAATAATAAATACAAAATATAAACCTTGAAGTACTATGAATCCTTAATATTATCTTGACTTTCTTAAAAGAAGCTTCATGTTTTATTCTAGAGGAAATAGTCACTGAAGCTTCTATATCAGAGGAGTGCTATAGTCAGGCCTGCATTTTTAGAATATCAGTTTGGCAGCTTTATGTATAGAGGACCGTTTGTAGAAAGAAGAGAGCAGAAGGGAAACCAACTAAACAGTCCAGGGCCTGAATTAGGTGGTGACTGGATAAGTGAAAAGAGAAGGAGACAGACAGATGTTGTGGAGTTAGAGAGAAATCAGGAGAGAGACTGTCAGGATCCCCATGCCAAGACCACTTCTCTCTTTTCATTCCTTTCTTTTTACTATTAGGAGATACTGTCTTCCAGAGCTGAGGCACAACAAACAAGCTGTGTCCTGAGCTTGGCATAACAACAATCCTTTGCACTCACCCTCTGGGTGAGCTCAGCCATAACAAAATCACAGAATTGTTTCACACGAGCTCCAGGTGGTCTTGAGCTCAGATAAGTACCTGCAGTAACCATGTTCTGGTCAGGAAGCCCTGCTATGAATCAAACTTGCCTTTGCCCTCATTGCCATAGCTACAGCTGAGTGTTTCTTTGTCTAGCCACTACTACATGTGTCAAGGCTCAGCCTCAATGCTGTGAGTTTGCTCAGTCCCAGAGCAGACCCTGGCACATGTGTCTAGTTTCCCTCCCTCCAACAGAATAAAGAATGCTTTTTGCTTATAACCACTGTTAGCTCTCAGTGAGAGAGAGTGAGAGAGAGAGAGAGAGAGAGAGAGAGAGAGAGAGAGAGAGAGA